ATCCATGGGCTTAACATCCGTGAAAAATTTGCTTGTCTCCTCCGCAACCTCAAACGATATATCCAAGACACGCACTTCCAAGAGACTGCAACTTCCCACTGGGACTCTTTAGCAACAACCCGATGTGCCGCACCATAGGGGTCAGTATATTGTTCTCCAGACGGATCCCCTACACAGCAAGAGACACTCGCAGATGCAGACAGGGCAGATACGTCTTCATGAAGGGCACAATCCAAGATACACCTTTGCGAATATCTATACCCCAAACTCAAAACAATACCAATTCCTCTGAATGACCTGATCACTGAGGGCATCCTAATCATAGGAGGAGACCTTAATCCAACATTACACCAACAAGATACTACTTTGTGTCCCACGTCAACCCCTGACAACAAGCATGCAAACACACTCCAACTACTCTGCCACCACTCAACGGCCCGTAATTATACATTCTATTCATCAACGCACGATTGTTACTCGAGGCTTGACTACTTCCTAAGGCCATATCACCACCTCACCCTGCTTGTAGAATTGAAAATCCTACCCATGACCTGGTCGTGCCATAACACCATCCACCTATGACTCAAGTTGCTCCTGTTCAGACCCCACCAAGCCTTGTGGTGCCTAAATGAATCCATCCTCTCCGATCCAGCAATAGTGGAAACTACCAGGAAAACTGTCCAAGATTAGATTTGCCACCAACGAGACAGGTGACACAACACCCTTAATCTGTTGTTAAGCTCACAAGGCGGTGATCCGGGGCCACCTCATCGCCATATGCTTGACGCGCAAAATAGAAAACTCACGGGCAATTGCGGATCTGAGCAACGAAATAGCAGCATTGGAAAGCCAACACAAACATATGCAGGATGCCACTACTATAGAGTTCTCCTCCTCAAATGCACCCAACTCACCACACACCTTAACTGACTAATTCAAAGGTCCTTTCAACATTTTCAGCACATGATCTACAGTGCCTTGCAAATGTATTCACCCCCATTTGACTTTTTTTTGCCTATTTTGTTACATTACAGCCTTAAGTTCAATGTTTTATTAATCTGAATTTTATGTGATGGATCAGAACACAATAGTCCAAGTTGGTGAAGTGAAATGAGAAAAATATATACATAAAACTATTTTTTAGAAATAAAAAACAGAAAATTGTCATGTACGTAGGTATTCACCCCCTTTGTTATGAAGCCCATAAAAAGCTCTGGTGCAACCAAATGCCTTCAGAAGTCACATAATTAGTGAAATGATGTCCACCTGTGTGCAAACTAAGTGTCACATGATCTGTCATTACATATACACACCTTTTTTGAAAGGCCCCAGAGGCTGCAACACCTAAGCAAAAGGCACCACTAACCAAACACTGGCATGAAGACCAAGGAACTCTCCAAACAAGTAAGGGACAATGTTGTTGAGAAGTCAGGGTTGGGTTATAAAAAATATCCAAATCTTTGATGATCCCCAGGAGCACCATCAAATCTATCATAACCAATGGAAAGAACATGCCACAACAGCAAACCTGCCAAGAGACGGCCGCCCACCAAAACTCACGGACCGGGCAAGGAGGGCATTAATCAGAGAGGCAGCACAGAGACCTGGAGAAGCTGCAGAGTTCCACAGCAGAGACTGGAGTATCTGTACATAGGACGACAATAAGCCGTATGCTCCATAGAGTTGGGCTTTATGTTAGAGCGGCCAGAAGAAAGCCATTACTTTCAGCATAAAACAAAATGGCACGTTTTGAGTTTGCGAAAAGGCATGTGGGAGACTCCCAAAATGTATGGAGGAAGGTGCTCTGGTCTGATGAGACTAAAATTAAACTTTTCGGACATCAAAGAAAACGCTATGTCTGGCGCAAACCCAACACATCACATCACCCAAAGAACACCATCCCCATAGCCGGGACTGGGAAACTTCTCAGAGTTGAGGGAAAGATGGACGGTGCTAAATACAGGGATACTCTTGAGCAAAACCTGTACCACTCTGTGCGTGATTTGAGGCTAGAACGGAGGTTCACCTTCCAGCAGGACAATGACCCCAAACACACTGCTAAAGCAACACTTAAGTGGCTTAAGGGGAAACATGTAAATGTGTTGGAATGGCCTAGTCAAAGCCCAGACTTCAATCCAATAGAAAATCTGTGGTCAGACTTAAAGATTGCTGTTCACAAGCGCAAACTTGAATGAGCTGGAGCAGTTTTACAAGGAGGAATGGGCAAAAATCCCAGTGGTAAGATGTGGCAAGCTCATAGAGACTTATTCAAAGTGACTTGGATCTGTGTTTGCCGCAAAAGGTGGCTCTACAAAGTATTGATTTTAGGGGGGTGAATAGTTATGCACATTGACTTATTCTGTTATTTTGCCCTATTTGTTGTTTGCTTCACAATAAAAAAAAAACATCTTCAAAGTTGTGGGTCTGTTCTGTAAATTAAATGATGCAAATTCTCAAACAATCCATGTTAATTTCAGGTTGTGAGGAAAAAAAAACAAAGAATGCCAAGGGGGGCAGTGAATACTTTTGCAAGGCACTGTATGAACACGGGAATAAATGCCACAGGCTGCTCACCAACCTATCTCCTTATACAATGCAGGACCCAATTATACATCCCTAAAATTAAGGACTCAGCTCAACAAGTTCACAACCTCCCAGAACAAATATCCACCATGTTCCTCCAATATTACAGAGGGTTGTACCACATACGCCAAGAGCCACAATACGAAGCTGCACACCGCAAGCGAAACGAAATACAGAACTATCTCGATACGTCAGACTTACACCAGATAGAAGACCATGAATGGGAAACGTTAGAGGCCCCCATAATGACGGACGAACTCACTCTCACGATCAAAAAAGCGAAGACATGCAAATCGTTGGGACCCGAAGGATTACCACTTCTGTACTATAAAACCTTCCTACCAGACCTCCTCCCGAAGCTACAAACAGCCCTGAAATCTATCTTGGAAGGAGCGGCACCTTCAGCACAATTCACATTGTGGGGATATTTATGGGATAATAATAGTAACAGTGAGAATTGCCCACTAATTCAATTCTCAGATCCCAAAGAACGTTTATCGTGTTAAGTGGAATGTATTTCATATAATAATATCACAATGTATAAAAATAGATTTTTATTTATAATGACAAATTAATAATAAACAAATAATATTATGTAACATGCATGACAATAATCAATGAATATTCAGTATAAAATTATATGCAATACAAAGAAATGGGTATTACGTTACAATGGCTAAATAGCATTTCCTGTCAAGAATTATTTATGACTATCTTTAACACAGGCTGAAAGTGAAACTTTTCACAGAAGAACAGAATTCCTCAGAGTGCAGCGTAAGGTCGTAAAGTTTAGCAGACAGTTAGAATAACCCTTTCAATGCTGGCTAGATCTCCTAGGTAGTTAAGATCTATTCTTATGTAATTTTTAAATAAAATAACATTTAAACCAGTTTAAATTCATTTTCTTAAAATCATCCAATAAGAGAATTTACCACATTATATAAGCAGATTTTTAATTTGTCTAAAAGATATCTATCTTAATTTAGAGCAAATCAATACACCTGGATAAAAACAGCGGTATGCTAACACGTGATAATATCACATCAATATATAATTATTCTTAATTCCACCTGCAGAATGGAATGTTTATAACTATATATTCTTAGTTAACTAAGATTTCTTAATATGGAAATCTGACCGTGCTTTATCCAGTCATATATAATGCTATTAATACATTTTAATTAATTTAATTTAATTAAATGAAACCAGTATAATTACCAGTTGAGTAGATATTTCATCCGATTGGTAGTCTCAGGAATTTATTTGGATGTGTCTCTGCATGGAGGTTGGAGTCCCCAAACTTCCAATTCCTCTCTTTTCTCTCCTTTGCATATCTTGCATCTGCCTCCTTCGTCTTTCTCTATCTTCCCTTTGTCTTAACTTTTAAAGGGCCAGACTCTCTGTACGTCATCAGTTGATAACCCAATAGAAGCACTAGAGGTGTGGTTATCTTCCAGATCGCAAATTAGGTATTTGGTCTGTAGAGGGCAGTCTTGTCCCACTAAACATACCTATCCAGGAAAGAGTTAACTTTTCCTGGTGGCTATTTTGACGTCATTTTGGCCTATCTAGATAGTGGCTATAACTTACGTATCCTTCAAAGATCAAAGGGGTTCTTAAATTTTGTCCAGACTATGTGTCTGCAAATCTGCTATAATTTCTGATATGACAGATCATGAACTAAGTTTACCCTTTTCCATACAATGGTACCTTATATGTATAGACAGTTAAATATTAAATTATTTAATCTTCTCTGTCACAATTGTCTGGGTTTAGATTTGATTATATTCTTCTTATCACTTGTTTATACTATGCTATACATTCCTTAGCTCTGGCAAAGAGGCCAGTCTTACAGAAAGAAATCTAGTGTCTTCTTTGTTAACTTGAAATAACAAAATGGAGTCTGGTCTGTTCAGAGTGACTCAGAATATACACTTTTAGTTTCTATCATAGCACAAAATGTCTGCCGATATAAATACTCTGACATAACCCCCCTTTAGTGCATTTCATAGCCAAAATTAATTTAGCTTATGAATAAGCACTATAGAAGTTATCAGACATATTGTGCAATCACATCATTTCTAACATAGGCCCGTGTGTGGAATGAACATTTTTGTATAATTTGTACCTGTAAAAGTTTTGAACTTTACACTTAGTACAATCAACCATAATATCATTATTATCATAGTACATTGTTTTCATTTGAAAAATTTCTTTGGGAGTTACATATGGTATGGCCAATAAAAAGCAAATCTCCATATGTTCCGGATCAATTAAGAGAGGTATAGCGCTCCCCATCTCAAAGGCCAGATTTAATTGCATAGGCTCAATTGTCTCTCCATCCACATTGGCAAGCATCGCATGAACAATATCCTTGGATACAAAATACAGAGGTATGCGTCCCCCTGCCAATTCGATCATTCCAGTTTGCACTTCGTCAAGAAAAGCAAGTGTGTGGAACAGTATTGGGTCATGCAGAAATAAAGTTCACGCTTGAATAAGTCATGACTTTGGTGCAACTCAGTGGATTTGGCAATTAACTCTGAATGCAAATTTGTTGTAACAACTGTGTCTTCCACAATAGTTAACACGTCTTGGAGAAGTGTTCTTTGCTGTTGTATCACCTGATGAATATCGTTAATGTGTTGCTTTAGCGCATAGATTTCCATATCCAGCTTTTGGACAGTAATAGAGTTGGCTGCAGACATTCCAGTTGCGACAACTGCACCGACAGTGGCACAAACTAATGCAACAATTATAGCGGTGAGGAACCTTTTGGGTCGGTTGCTCATCGGAATAGAACTGGATACAAATGGTTTCCGGGCTTGCTCCAAGATGTTTCGCACACGGTCCTGTGCTCTTTGGAGGTGCATCTGGTACCAAGTCTGTAACTCAGGAAGCTGCATCGATGAAATGTTGTATGCCTTCTCGATGGAAATCTTGGGGTCCAAGCTGATGAACACACGTCTGGTCAGGATCCTCTTCTCTGTTAAGATGAACCCTGGTGTCTCTTGAATCAGGATGCCGGAGGATGGTCCCATCTCTGCGATCGGGTCGGTCCGTAGCTCTTGGCACAGGAGCAGTACGATCCAGAAACACGCCACATCCTTCTTGGACATCCTTCGACAGTCACGGATCAGGAACCCGTTTCAGACTTATCTACTAATGATTCAAGGTTTGTTAAGCATACAAACTCATAACAGTGTGACATCACTTGGCCTAGGACAACACATTATTACGATTCATCAACATATGTATTCTGTCTAATTCTATTTTTATAACTTCATCCCTCACTACATTTATTACTGACTCTTCAGCAATTTGCCTATAGCAGTTAAACAAGCTAGTAACCTGCTTATAAAATGTAGTTATTGGATGGCAAGGAAATGGTTAATGACATGAACGTACATGAGATCATGGCACATCACAACATTTCACATCATACTATACCACGTGAATCAAGCATTCATCCAGGTTAGTCGTTCACCCTTCTGCATCCGAATCCACACCTATAATCCTTAATTGAGATTTAGGATGACAAGCACGCAACTGGTTAATGTGAACCCACTTTTCAATAAAATCACCATCCTTAGGAATTTTTATCTTATACGCTACAGGGGAAATTTTGTCAATAATGACATATGGCCCTTTCCAAGAAGGTAAAAATTTCTTTTCCTTGACTTGATTTCGCGCAAAGTTATACAGATAGACTTGATCTGTTATCTCATATTCCTTTTTCGTGGTTTTTAGATCGTAATAGGTCTTAACCCCTGTCGCTGCTTTTTCTAGATTCTTTTGGGCAAAAGCAAACGCATGCTGTAAATGCTTGCGCAAATCTTCGATATACTGATGCGTAGTGGCAGCATTGATCAAGTTATGATCCGAAGTACGATATAGTAAATGCTGTGGTAAAACCATCTTTCTTCCTGTCATCAATTCAAAAGGTGACAATTTGGTAGCAGTGCTAGGTGTAGCTCTAATCGCCATTAAAACTAGGGGCAATTTAATGTCCCAGTCTTTACCAGACTCCTTAACATATTTCTTTAGAATATTAACGATAGACTGGTTATATCGCTCTACCCCCCCGCTAGACGCAGCGCGGTATGCAATATGTAGCTTTCGTTTAACACCTAGAATGTTCCACATCTTAGCCATTACTTCGCTGGTAAAATGACTACCTCTGTCTGACTCAATTCTTTGAGGCAGACCGAACCTGGAAAAGACATGGTTAATCAACAAAGTGGCGCACACGGTACTCGTGTTCTCTTTACAAGGCAAACATTCTATCCACTTTGTGTACATACATGTAACGGTTAACATGTATTTGTTACCTCTTGAAGATCTTGTTACAGGACCTATAAAGTCAATTTGAATATCAGACCAGGGTAATGACACCCCCTCTTCTGAAGTGGTGCACGATGGGTTGGACCATGGGGTTGATATTGCGGACAAATCAAGCATCCCTGACAGTATGTCTTAACATCCCTTAACATGTGTGGCCAATATGCATAATCACGCAATATCTCATATGTGATCTTATCACCATGATGCCCAGATGTAGGTGCATCATGTGCGTGTTGGAGCATTAACCCTCTGTATACAGTTGGGACTACCCATTGTTGTATACCATGTTTAGAAGTTCTGACCAGTAACCCATCCATGATACTAAATTGGACTTTATATCTCATCAAGATTCGTAAATCTTCATTATTTTTGCAATCCTCATCTGTGATGGGATTGGCAGTAGGGTCTTCTATATGTTTATAGAATATGCCTATGACGGGATCGACTAGTAATCAGGTCATCACTAGGAGCTTCTTGACTCCATTGCACGACATTTAAGTCGGCATTATCTCTAGCCTGACGTCTAGTTATGGCGTCAACATGAATTGAACCCATAAGATCATCAATGTTTAGGGTTTCACCATTGATGGCAGCTTGTTTTGCCAGTGAATCGGGTAAGTCATTACCATCCTTGTCAATACCTTCTATTTTAGAATGGCCTTTGGTTTTCTTCCAATATATGGATAAACCATTTTCCTTAACCAGTTCATCGATTTTACAAAACAATTTCCCATGTTTAAGAGGTTTGTTATTGCTTTTCAGCATTTGGTTACGTTTCCAGCTAGGCAGATATTCGACAAAACTGTTGCGAACATAGTTGGAATCAGTTATAATAACAAATTCTTTGATACCATATTCTATTGCCATTTGAATGGTCTTATATACACTGCACAGAGTTCGGCTATCTGACTGCTTTTGGGACCAATATTGTATCCTATAGATACATTGGGATAATCACCTGTCCAGGCGATTCCGATACCTGCAACTAACTTCCGTTCTGCACCAATGACGTGGTGATATGAACAGCCATCAATGTATACCCACGGTAGTGGTCGACAGTATTCCTCGTCATAAACTTTATAAGGAGATAGCAATTGCTCTTCTAGGAAGTCATCTCCGGTGTCATTATCATCCAGAGATGGAGCAGTACAGTCATGTAATTCTGCTAAACCTTGGGCAACTGGGCTTCTCTTATTATGTTTATAACGGACTTCTAACGGCCATCCCTGTAAGGATAGAGTCCATGCAGTAATCCGACTGTTAGAGAGATTACCGTCTCTAATTCTTTCACTCTGCAGATACTGTAGAGGTTGGTGAGCTGTTTCTACAATTATTTTCTCACCTTGGATATAGCTACGAAAATTTTGTAGTGCCCAGACAGTCGACAATAACGCCTTCTCACACGTGTTGAATTTAACTTCAACAGGTGACAAAGTCTTGCTAGCATATGCAATAACTTTGTTTAAACTGTCCTGCTTCTGGTACAGAACAGCACTGATGCTTAAATCGGTATATCCTGTCTCCAGATAGAAGGGTTTACCCCCCTCTGGGTATGCTAAACAGGGTGCCTGAGTGAGCTTCCTCCTCAGTTCACTTACCGCTTGGTCCTGAGGCTCCCCCCAGTTCCAGGTAGTTTCCTTTTTAAGCAGGTGTAAGAGTGGTTTAGTTATTTCTGCATAGTTATCTATAAACTTACGGGAGTAGTTAGTCATACCAAGGAACGATCTTAATTCCCTGATGTTTGAAGGTGTTTTAGCCTTTAGTACGGCTTCAACCTTCTTCCTCTGGGGATTTAATCCTTCAGAAGTTACCTCATGTCCGAGGAAATTGACATGGGTGCGACACCATTGCGCCTTTTGTAAAGACAGTTTAATCCCTGCCTCTCTTAACTGAGTGAGAACATGTCTAATCTCTAAGATATGCTTATCAAAGGAAGTGCTTTTCAGCAAGACATCGTCGACATATGATAACGTTCCTCTCTCGAGTGCGTCAGGCATAGCTTTATGCATGAACACAGCGAATTCATGACCAGAGTTTATATAACCGAAAGGCATACGGGTCCAGGTATACTGCTGCTTTCCAAATGTGAAGGCCAATTTGTATTGGTCTTCATTATGGACTGGTACAGTCCAATATCCCTGCGCACAGTCAATGGCAGTGAATATTTTGGATCCCTGCATTTGTACCAAACATTGGTCTATGTATGGCGTTGGCCAACCAGACATATAGACGCGTTTATTTAGCTGTCGTAAGTCAGCACATAAACGCCATTGTCCATTAGGTTTCAGAATCCCCAAGATTGGATTATTATACGAACTGTGCACTGGACGTATAATGCCCCTTTCCTTTAAATTCTGAATGATGTCTTGTAGACCATCATATGACGCTAATGGGAGTCTATATTGTTTGATAAATACAGGTGGTAAATTTGGATCAGTTTGTATTCTGGCTACGTGGAGGTTAGTTAACCCACAGTCGTAGGAATCTTTGGCAAAAATATCTTGGAATTCCAAAAGGATTTCCTTTAGCTGTTGCCGCTCAGCATCGTTGGAGCAACCGTCAGCTAAAGATATTTGCTCTTCTAGCCTTTCCTGAAATCCTGGAAAGATTTCAGGCTGGCCTATCTCATAAGCTTCTTCAAGCCTAGAAGTTAGGTCAGTTCGGTGTTGACTTACCTTTTCTCTTTGGTCGTGATACTCTTGTGATTCCTGCTCATCGAGCGGATGATCGAAGGTGATTGATGCTTCTTCGATTTTACACAAGCCTTCTTCAACGTTGAAGGGATACACAGATAGGATAGTGAATAATCCTTCTGGGGAGGAATGGAATATTTGATCGACAATTTCGTGCTCAGTTAAGTATTCTTCAGGGATGAGGCCTATAATTTGGTTTTGGAAACCAAATGTATAGTACTCAGCATCCAATGCTAGACCTAATAATGTTCCTTTTGGTAAAGTAACACTATTGGGTGTAACATTGTTGACCATGATATAGGTGGGATTCTTACCAATACTTACCATTGGTGTATGTGTTACCACCATCCCTAATTGTTGTATCCTGTTGGATAAACAGATTAGGGCATCAGAGTTTTCCAATCTCTGACCTTCCTTGACCTGTATGGGTAAAAGAAAATTACTTGTCCCCTGTGGAATGGTTATGTCATCAGGAACTTGGATACTTACCGCATAAGGGAGTATTTGTCCTGATTTCAGGGCGTTTTCCTCGTGTAGGTATCCACAAGGATTACCTTTTAACCTTGTCCACAAGTTGGAATTAATCAGGTCAAGGTGTATGGCAAAGCGATGTATGACATCATTGCCAACGTAAACCTGATAGCGAGGTTCGTCTATCACTAGGAATAAATGTTTAACTGTTTTATTTCCGATGGAAATAGATAGTAAACATTTTGCTATCACATTGTGACTCTCTGATTCGCCATCCAGGTTCTGGATCCACCTGTCATGTGGGGAAGCGTACCTGATCATTTTAGGATTAGCGATCTGCTTTAACAGACTTCTGCTAATATAGCTGTTCTCACTCTTTAAGTCCAGCTTTGCATTCCTACTTCTTCCTAAGTCATTTATTTGCATAGGAAAGAATAAGTTGTTATTAACCCTTTCAATTCTGGCAAGGAATTGAGCATGACCTGCCAGATCTACAGATTCAACATAGTCCCTGTGGAGAGAAATGGTTAAAACATCACCTTCCAGAGAGACATTCTGGATCCTCTCTGGAGCAATTCTTATGGAATGCTCATCTACAGGTGCGATTGCATCATTCACCTGCAGGATAGTCACGTCAGGTGACTGACTATTTCTAAAATGTACCTCTATTGAGTCAGGTCTTTCTTCTATCACATGGCAGTTACGATCAGATTGAACATGTGATTTCTCATAGGTTATGGGAACCTTAGCTTGTGACCATACAATTCCATTTACACAGTCAATAAT